AGCACACCGAGCCCGCTCTAGCACCCCGCTCTCACCTCCCCCCACCCCCCCCCCCACTCCTCACCGACACACACACACACACACACACACACACACACACACACACACACACGCACACGCACATATACACACACACACACACAAAAAGGCACTGCAGGGCAGAAATTCCTCAGGTGCTCGCTAATGGAATTCCCAGGGTCTTGGAGCCGCTTCGGGGATCAAGAGATCTCATAGCCCCCGCTGGGGTAAGGAGCAGTGAGTCTGTTCCATTTAATCAAATACAGAATGAATTTTCAGCTCTATTCACTAGCTTGTCTCTAGGGCTCTCAAAAGGCACCAGACAGCTAGAATCACACATATGTGGCTCTTTTAGGCAAGTATAATTAGTTTGATTTTAAAAAGCCACATTAATAATATCACCTCAGAAGCATTATTCAGAGGACAGATGACAATGATACTGTATGTTTTGCGCCTGACAACAGAGAGAAAGCACACGAACAATAAGAGAACACTTGAAGGATTAAAAAAAGAGAGCTTTTCATTTCATTGTAATCCAATATTTTTAAAGTTACATGAAGTGTATTCCTTATAGCATCCCTCAATTTTAACAGGAAACAAAGATCTCCCCATGCTCATAAATCGGTGAATTCATGCCACCTACACAACAAAAATCTATCACACAAAATGTTTGCAAGCGATATAAAAATAACATAGTATTTTCTAATTCAATCCAGGTTAGTAAAAATCTCTTGGAAAAAAGCAGCAAACAATAAAAATTTTAAAACACACACACTGTTAAAAGCAAGTCCTCCAAAGCAATACAGTTGGCAACCAGACACCAAATTCTGCTTCTAATCTAATTAGTTTGCATTAAGTATTAAGATTGTTAAGCTAAAGACAGACTACCTGGTAGTCTATTCAGCAACACTCTAATCTACTGTCCTATCTATATTTCTACAGAGTACCCGTACCAATCACATGGCGCTAACATAATTTCACATTAAACAACAAATTTCCCAATTCATTTTTTTTATTTCCTACCCCTTCCTTGTTTTCACAGGGACAATGTTTAATTCCTGAAATAGCTTCCCCAGCATTTTATGTAGAAACAATTTTTAATCTACAT